ACTATGGTTAGTTATTCGGCACTAATTGTTCATAATGTTTTGTCTAGTATTTGAATGAATGTAGATCTGTTGATGTACGTACGAAGTTCTACGTTGCATCTGACTGACTGATTTATTTTATTCATCATTAGTTTATTTTAACGTTATAAGTGAAACATAGAAGTAGTTCTTTAATCTAATGTCATGGTATGTCGATACCTAAATTACTAAGTTTAAAGGAGTTGAATGAAGAGACAGCAAATACTTCTCGTAAATGGGTCATTAGTAACAAACAAAGTTACATTATTTTGATAGAACAATGAGATGTAGTTGATCTCATCTCCTTACCACTGAGAGGTAAATCAGATGGTTTTCTCTTAAGACAGTGTCTAAAACCAGCCATTGAGAAAACATAATACGCTACTAAATTGATTATAATTGAAAGGGCTAAGTCCATGATTCCACATAGGCATAGACATTGCTCAAACGACTACATTACATCTCGTTGCATTTATCAACTTGTGTGGACACATACATAGGGAGAAGTAATCGAACTTTTCAGTGAAAGGTTATGGGACATGTACGCAAATGGCTTCAAAATCATTTAACGTCAGATGACCTGGTAAATTTGGGGGATCGAAAATCATGTCAATCGATAACAAAACACAACTGAAACGGAGCGTAGGATGGACATCAAAATAGCCTTTGAAACATTGTACGGAAACGTTCAAGGACGAATTCTAATGTTTATGAAAGTTAACCTAAAACCCCTCTTATGTGTACAGAAACAGTTTGTTATAGCCTTGAATTTACCCTGGTAATCTTTAAGCCATTTTATGACCTAAGTGTAATGTGACGATTTCTTATTCTTTCTATACTATGTTAATTTTCTGTCTCCTTTATTTACAATAATCACCTTATGTTTATTTGAACTTTTATTTAATTGACCTTTTATTCATTTTCATATGGAATGCCTTAACACGTATACGTGTGACCAGATTGTTCGAGATGTTTAGCGCAAATACATCATATTTTTCAGATCAACTACGCCTTTTGATTGTTCTGTCAAAATTTATATAAATGGGACTAATTGTTTTCAAGTTACATTAACCCAATAATACTATTTATTGAATTAATTAGGTGGGAAGTATGTACCATATCTTTGTATAGTTACACATATTTTTTTATGATCTTTCGATAATTAATGCTTAGTTTGTTGTTTAGTTGAAATGTACTAATGACAGCTGGTCAAAATAGTATATCAAGATTATTTGGCAATTTGTTTTCTGATTAATGCAACTTCTGAGGTAAATTTCAGTATCAACCTTGGTATTAAATCATCATCATAAACGGTAATGATCTTTACCTTACTATTTCAGTAATTTTAAAATCAAGCCACTAGACAACTACAATCTAACTATAAATCTAAGCGTAAGTACTTACTTGTTTTAATGCTGTACTCATACATCAATATTGACCGTCTAGAATAGCAATGCAATTAGGAAATTCATACTATTGTTTTAATTGACTTAAGATAATGCCCAGGTAAATAGGTGAGCAATGAACCTAAAAGTAACAAAAAGACATTGAAAGTAAGATAAAAATAAGAAATGGTGTCATATCAGAGTTAAATTTGAACGAGAACACAGTGAATTTCACCTGTAAACACTCCTTGTTTTAATAGTAAATCGTAAGAACTAGAATTCAGTGTCTAGACGGTTATTTACACATTGAGTCGGAAAAAATTTCAACAGAATAAACTCATTTTCGTAAACTAAGGAGCTATAGGTTTAAGCAAACATATTTTACGTAGCACTAGTCTTGTTTAAATCCTTCATGTCTGAGAATTCGTTTTCAACAGGATAAACATATATATAAGCATTCCTACGTCTTAGGAAATGAATCCATTTCTTGAACACTGAAATGCTTTCCACCTTTAGGTTATTTCTGATTATCATCAAATGATCTTATTGGCTCAGTTTGATCAACAGTAGCTGAGCTATTCCTATGTTTATCCTACCGACCACTTATTGAGTTTAATTTCTTAACGCTAGAAATATTTTATATATAGCAGTGCGCATCCACGACCCATGCACCTCGTTGGATTCCTATAATACTAACAACGATTTATTATAAATAAAGTTTTGAATTTTTCAATGTTATGTTTTATGAAAATAGAATACAATGCGCCAACTCTCAATCTCAATGACCAAAAGTCCATCGAACATTGCAATATATAATCTTTTATTCACAGAGACCTTGACAATATTATACACCTGTAATTAATGATACCCGATATAACAGTCATATATACAAGCTTTTTTTAAGACATTAGAATTTATTTTCAATTCGAACATAGGTAGTACAAACAATTCAGATTAATGAGATAAACTGTGAACGACCAAACTAAACTAAAAATCATAAATAAAGCTTTTTCATTAAAAATACATATAAGTTCAGATTGAACTCATGAGTTAATATGGAGAATTTGCTTTTTACAGTTCATCAGTTAATTATCACTACACCTATTTTAGAAAAAGACTTCTCTAACAAGATGTAATGATCTTTTTGTAAAGGGCAAATTACGTACCGGAAATTATCATCCAGTTGGTCATATGTAACATGCAACCTAACACACCTAAACATCTGTTCAGGTCCCCTAAACCATGTTAACACTGCAAGATGAAAATTTCAGGATAAATCCCAAAACAATATCAGTAGCACAAGAAAACATCAGGTATCGGAGAAAATAGAGTTATTAGAAGAATATTTAACTCCGGATTTAAGAGAAAACGAACAATGAATTTACCCGTCTCATTGCAATCGGTTCTTAGTTATGTAACACAACGTTTCCAACTACTAGTTACGGCATTCGCACAGACCTCAATCAAGTGATATGCACTTACATAAACGTTTCGGTCAAACGACTGATGACTGATGTCATGTTTTGATTTGACTATCCCTATCTTTCTAGAATACTCCTACACCATAAAGCCTCACGTCAAGATATTCAGAGTTTGGGAACATTTAATGCATGTTCCAACCAATTTACCTAGTAACCTATCGCGAAACTCATCGTTGTTCCCTTGGCGTTTCCAACTTATATGAACGATGCGTCCAATGCTAGTAACCTACGAATAGCACTCATAAAGTAAGACAAAAAGAACTACAATTCAGTACACTAGACCTTTAACTGATAGTTGGGGATATCTCACATATATCACAAGTGATGCAAGCTGGTAAAGGCTAATTAGTGTGTCTGTTGTATTCATCCCGATATTTCATCAAACACCAACCGTGTAGAGCTGATGAGGTTTCCACGATAAATGAAATGGTTAACGCACTCAACTATGTCACTGACAATAACATAGACCAGTTCTGAAGGAAAATATTGCATTCTTATCTATCAATATTTCTAATTATGACAAAGTGCTTCTTGTGTTTCTTGTATCTGAACTTTTTTTGACTAATTTCTTTTATTCACACTGATCATAATTCAATTATCCTAATGATTTAAAAAACGTTGATAGTTTAACCCATAAATTAATATCAGTTGGAGAATTGTTAGAACAAATATTGTAATAAATATTACTTCAGCTTTCTATTAAAACATGTAACTTATAGGAAAAACAAACGTAGTCCAGTAATTTCATCCACTACATTTTCTATTCACTTCATAAATCTCTTATAATTTAATATTTATATTTGTAATATGAAATAGAAACATTCTCATTATTAATATTATTATTATTTTCCATTTTGTTTATTATTTCAAAACGTCATTCAATATTCATTCAAAGTACTTAGTGTTTTGTTGACCGAGTTTGTATCAGCTTTTCTCTTTATCATGTTCTGCATATGTTTTTTTCATAAAATAGTGTGAAAAACATATACAATGTGGTTGAATTAGCATTTCTTTGTTATTCAACATGTATATATATACACAAACAAATTATTCTCCAGCACTACGGATACTTTTTTTTTAAGAGTAGAATTGTATTCTTTAGACATTTTATGCTCTATATCGAAAAAATACATATATAAATATATATGTATATAACTTTATCAAGTTTCATTTAGGACACCAATCAATAAACAAATGTTGTGTACATGTAATTATGGAAACCTCTTGCTTGTTTTTTTTAATTATTGACCAAGTTCACAGTCCAGGCACCAAGAATTTTTTTTTCTACCTCCGAACCAATCAGAAATGTTGTTCAAAATACATAAATGATATCTCATTCCATATTTCTTTCACTTATCATAATTTATATTTCATTATGTAAAATGATGTTTATTATGACAGAGCATTGAAAAAAACTACCACACACATACGCGCACAAACACACCACACACTATGGATAATTCAAATAATTCCGAAAAATATCAAACCATTTCAACATCTAATCATCAAAAAGCGAAACGTTTAAAAATATTACAAGAACTTGAAGATCGTAAACTTCAATTAAATCATAATCGATTGTCAAAAGAACAAAATAAAATTTGTAAACAACTTGATTTTCAACGTTCACAATTTACTCGAAGATTTTCTGAATCAAATTTTAATTTATCTAATGAAGAATTATCACCGAAATTATCAAAAAAAATTGAAAATGTAACATTTGATTCAAAGAAATTAAAACAACTTAAACATCAACATTCATTACTAACTGATGAGAATTTAAAGTCTTATTGTCGTTTATATTCACATGATGATAATAATAATCATGATGACGATATTGGAAAAACCAGTACAAATCAACCATTTTGGTTACGATTACGTTCTTTAGGTGTTCCATCAGATGAAGATACATTGTTAGCTGCATTAACTTGTAAAAATATGAATATTGATGAGAAAGAGGCACCAGATGTTGATGATGCTGAAGATGATGTATTTGAATCGGTTTCTAAACCCTCGATTGTAAATCGTCATTCAACAGGAAGAATATCAAGAAATTTACTTAAAACAACGTTCAACTAGTCTAACAGGAGCTGATTTAACATTTGAAAATTTATTAAATAACAATAACAATAATAATATTAGTAGTGAAACTAATAATGAAAAACGAATTAAACGTTCATTAAGTTTAGAAGATAAAAAACCTGATTGGTTATTAGCATTAAATCGAATGAAACGTGAGAAATTATCTCGTCTTAATTCAAATGCACAAGAAGAAATAACAGCATTAGTAAGCGGTAATAAATTCTATGGTACTAAACGACCGAATGTACTCACTGTGAAATATCAGTCACGTAAAGATCGTCTTATGAAATCACATAGACATACTGTTGTTGGCATAACACATGAATTTGCACCAATATAACATATATATCATACATACTGAGAGAGAGAGAGAGGAAAGAGATAGTCAGTGTTTTCAATGGATTCATGTTTCACTAAATACATTTGATTGTTTTCTTGTAATATTTACATTTCATGAATTGTAGCAAGTTTCTTCTGTTAAACATACATATATTTGCCCCAATTTTCATTTTATTCAATGGAATCTAACATATATATACATATACATATATATATATATATATATATATATATATATATATATCTGTATGTAGATGAATTAAAAGATTGGATTTTTGCATAAACTTTTATACTCTTTAATAATTAACTATCTCTATCAGATGTCATTGTAATAATGAATATAAATTTGGTTGTATTTGTTGTTTAGTTTAGTTTCATATAAACTCAGTAATGCTACTCATTGATACAGCTGAGTACTATCGTGTACACTTGTATAGACATGTTTTATTTTCATGATGTAGACGGGAATCTAATATTTCGGTAGACAATTATAGTGGTTTAGTAATGTTTGCTATTGTCAAAACCTAATATGAATTGAATAACTATTGAAAACTAAATAAAATTTAAGATTTATTCTTAAAGCTAAACTAATATATATCAGATTATAATTACAATGAGGATTTGAATTCCAGAACTATTTTCAAATATCATCAGTTTGTGAATGAGTATCAATTATCCTTTGTTTTCATACAGATTATCATTTATTTGAAATAAGTGTTTATATTCAGACATCTGAAATTACCAAGTGAACTAGTGAAATAACTTGTCTATCAACTACTGTTCACACTTAATACGATAGAACAGTTTTGACTGAATCAGTAGTAGATTGAAAAATATGTAGTTCACAAAATGAATATTAACTTCCCAGTTGGAAAACTGTTAATCTAGACTCCAAAATATTAGTTGCTTAGACCACTGTATGATCAGTGAAAGAATTACGATGAGTTTGTTATAGTTGATGGGATTAAATAATTATACGAAACTTTATAGATATTCGTCTGTCTCCTAACTTTTAAGCATTTTCTCATCAAAAGTTTGGATTTTTCAAGATAACATAGTGTTTTTCGAATCAAATTCCATTGTTAGCCACATCCCACCTATTCTAGATTATCAAATGGCTTTAATCTAACTAATAAGAGAAATACATTGGATTTATTATTCCATGTAGTTATCTAGTAAGACAATTCAATTGTAGACTATGTTCCATCGTTCAGTCAATCTATATTTATTTTATATGAATTATAATCTGATATTTCAGATGGATTATAATTTTTAGCTGCTTATTTATTCAATTATACAACTACTTATCATATCTTCAGTTCTTCAGTATTTTAATGTCTCGGTTTTTTACCAGTAAAATGAATGCAACTTGTATGCTTCGGAAGGTAAGTTTATGAGTAGAATCAATAATTTATACACCTGCAAAATGAAATATAAATGGATTTTTCTTCACTACTTATTGTTCTATTATATTCATTCATTTGTCATTCGTTGGCTAATTAGGATCAATGAATCAGTCACTTAATAGCCTTATATGAACTTTTTTATTTTTTGTAGAATATACTTAACTACTAAATAATTATTAAGTAGTAAAAATAATATGCATGTCAGTTACTATTAGCTAACTGCTTTTTATTCATCAAAATGTGTCGTTAGTTGTGAAGCATAAATGAAATCAGTTATTCTAGTACCTTATCTTATTGCATCTGCATTGTGATTTACTCAATAAAAGCGGCTGCTCAGTTTTGCTGTTCTGTGATGGAGTCAGTTTCATTGCTAAGATTATATGTGGTACAATATGTAATACATTTGGATTCTATTTTGTGTCATCTGTTTATCATCCGAAATAAATCATATCAAGTTTCTGCTCGTGGAATCTTTGAACAGAGATCTTGAAACTCTGCTGGTAAAAATGAGTATGCCATCCAGTAAGCTTCTAGACAGTTTCATGATCACACTCCTTTTTTGTATTTAAAGGGCTGGCGAAACTCATGAGTTTCAATGAAATCATGAATCAATCAATGCTGGACCACTACCGAAAACTTAGAAGCACCAGACGATCACTTTTTCCTAGTAAGGCACTCATCGTTAGTGCGCATCGACTACCTTTCAAGCGAGAATTGAACTCAGGACCTTTGGTCTCGCGTGCAATCGCTTAACCTCTGAACTACTGAGTCTGCACTCAGCGGTGCTAATGTCTAACCCTATATGTGTTGTCGTGGATGAGCAATGCTGACGATACTAGAATGAAACGGACACCCAGTACTCTAGGGTTTCCTGTGAGGATCTAACGATCATTTCAAACACATTGCTCTTCATTGGTGGAACATAATAAATTTTCTCACTTTTGAAGAGTCACTGATGGTGACTGTGAATTATAAAGTGATCGTCTGTTCTTTGTTCAATGAGTCTTTTTCTTCTATAAAGTCTTTGAGAAAAAGCGTTTTTCTAGAGAAACTAAAATATTAATAGTTAACTTCTGTAATTTTTAGTTTTCACATTTTCAAATTATCAAGCTTCATTAAATTGGAATCTTATTTTTCTGTGAGCTTAAGAATATCTGAACAAAGTTATTAGGCGCAGTTATATCACTCGTATCTATGGAGATATATTATTTTTCAGTATAAACAAAAAATATAGTGAAGTTCAAACAACTTGATAATCATTGTTCATTATAAACTCCATGTTGTAATATATTTTCAAGGAAAAAGGACAATAATTTTCAACTTTCATTTTCATTCATTTTTCCAATAAATGACAATAGTTCAGATCGTCTCTGATTAACAGATAAGAGGCAATAAGAAGAAACCATGGTGAAAGATTATGATCAGTGAATAAAAACTAAGGTTACTTCCTCCCAATTTATATATAATATTAAACTGATGCAGTTGTACTTTTCCGGAAATAAAACATTCAAAAAAAACGACTATCAAATATTTTAAAAGTTTAGACTTTTAATGTTGGCTGTTTTTCTATTTCTGATCCCGAAATACACTCTTTTAGTGTGAGTGCCTAATCTGCTACTTGAGTGGAATGATCTAAGACTGAGTAGAAAATTATATTCATCAACCTAACCAATATAATTATACAGACTCATTCATATATATAGATGTGCGTTCCTCGGGTAATTAGACCAAACTTCGACCAATGGCGCTCATCAATCAACATCACCCACCTACAGTTTGACCTTGGACGGCTATGTCTGATTATCTGAACCTGTTGCAAGAGTGTTTAATGATAAAACATCCTTCCAGAAGCTTTTTTTTACAGTTGATTGTCCACATTTGTGATTCGTATATTAAATTTGTATAACCTTCGCCTATATGAAATCCTTCCTTTGAGCTGATAAAAAATGTAACCAGTTATTTGTCAACTTAACGGATAACGGTCTACTTTAGACTAAAGTAGTTTCAGTGTCAAATACTTTCAAAATTCTTATTTTTAAACTCGTATTCGAATATTTTATTAAAGTTTATATTAAAGTTTAATAATGTTTTCCCCATATTGATTGTTTTCAATGTCAATCAATTTGAAGAGACTTCATAATGAAATTTGGTAAAGAACTCTTCTTTTTTTTTTAAATGTACGTGATCTATTTTTCTAAATAAAATTTTCATTTTAACTGATAATGATATGTATGTATGTTAACCTCATTCTAATTGCAAATAAATAATTTTCATCATTCTATAATTCGATGGAAACAACAAAAAAAAAGTTTATGATTCACAAAAAAAATCAATCATTCCTGTACATTTATTTATGCATTCATACACACATGCATCATGATGTATACACATGGTATATGTATATGCGTTCTTATGATTACGTTTATTTATGTATCTGTAGGTAGGTAGGTAGGTAGGTAGGTACATATGTATCTACATACTTAACTGTGTACGTGTATATACCCAATATAAAATAAAATAAATAAATACATTGGTTGATGAATAACAGCATCAACCATACAAATTGTCATTTTTATGCCAATATAAATTATATCATTTGAAAATAGACTTGTACAAAAGAAGAAATAGAGAATTTAAAATATGACGGAATTTCTTAAATTATTGATTATTAGTACTTCATTGAAAGTAATAGTACTATATGTATATATAACTGAAAGGAACTAAATCAGAATAAAATAATGTAACACTCAATTGTAGCTTCTTTTATCTGATGTTTAATTCAAAAATAATGGATATGAAATGATTGAATTCTTCGAGATATGATGCCCAGGCAAACATAGTTTCGGTTTTCTATGATTATTTAGTTATGTTAAGTCCTTTAAGTTAGACAGTTGAACTGGAGAGCTTTCATTATCATTCTGAATGAAATCGTTTAAGCCTAGAACAGTTAAAAATGGCTATTTTACAATAACTCATTCAGTGTTTTATAGAACCATGAGGATGAGATGACTATTGATTGACTATCTATTAAGAAGATATTATCTTCACGTATATTAATATATTCCCATTTCTTGTTGCTTTAAGTTGACTATTTATTCTGTAATTGACTGAGTGAATGATCGTCAGTTAGTCTTACAGTGAACTGAAAATGATACTTCTTGGTACCCAGCCTCTTTAATTTTTTTACAATTTTTCAAAGAGAATGCGTATCTGTAGTTGTCCACGTGAAATAAACTATCAGGTACTGACTTTTAACTAACAATCTATGTTCATGAATGCATCGATAGAGGAGAATTTCCCTTTGTTAAAACCAGCGCTTAACTTAACTCTTAAACGATGTTATAATTATTTTCCTTCCTTTTTCCATTCCCGCTTATATAAAATGAAATGTAGCAGTTGTTTTAAGTACTCGCTTAAAGTGTCCATATATATAATATACATAGGAAAATGAATGAGTCATCGAACTATTTAAGTGATGTTTGTGAGTAGTCTATAAGCAATACTCAAGCATACATGCTCATACAAGCTCAACAATAAACAAAATACAATATTATAGATAAGTTATTTCTGTATAGATGACGCTCTGTTAAGTAAGTTAATAAAAGAGCTTAACCAAATTAAACGTTAAGAAACTCAATTGTATGTGAAGAGCTATAAAGTACATTGATGCAGTTTATAAGTACACTAAATGATATATATTTATATGATGCAAGTGTACTTTAGACAGCTAGGATTTCTTAATCTAAAAACATTTGTTGTTACTTTATCGGTTATAACTACATCTGATTTGTAGTCAATCAATAG